ATCTTCGGAAAATACAACATGAGGGGATTCCTCAATAGTCAAAGTGTGTTTATTAAAAACTCTATAGGCCTTGCTACGTAGAGAATAACCAAGAAAAATCCCTTCGTCCGATTTGGCATCAAATTTTCCCAAGTTATCTTTGCCGTTATTATGAATAAAACATTTGCAACCAAAGACTCGAAGATGGGAAAGGTTTGGCTTTCTTCCTTTGTATAATTCATAGGGCATTTTCATGAGTATCGGTCGAATGATGGCTCGGTTTAACACGTAGCTCGCGGTACTCACGGCATCCGCCCAAAAATACTTAGGAATTTTTGCCTCATTGATCATAGTTCTGGCCATCTCTTCGAGACATCTATTTTTACGTTCCACCACTCCATTTTGTTGTGATGTATGTGGGGCTGAGAAGTTATGATCAATGCCAAGTTCGTCACACAAATCTGAAAACAGATTTCGTTCGAACTTTCCCCCATGGTCGCTTCTTATGGCTACTATGGTTGTGTCTTTTTCATTTTGAACTTTCTTTAGAAAATTTTTGAAAACGTGAAATGCCTCACTTTTATGAGTTAGAAACAAGGTCCATGTAAACCTAGAGTAGTCATCGACAATCACAAACGCAAAGTAATTGCCACCAAAACTTTTCGTTCTAGAAGGACCAAAAAGATCCATGTGCAAAAGTTGAAGTGGTCTAGACGTTGAAACAACGTTCTTAGACTTAAACGAAGCCCGAACTTGATTCCCTTTTTGACATGCATCACATATGGCGTCTTTTTCAAACTTAAGTTTTGGAATGCCAATTACTAAGTCTTGTGAAACCAATTTGTTCAAAAGGTTCATGTTCATATGAGCTACTCTTCGGTGCCATAACCAAGTGTCTTCCTCTTTACTCATGAGGCACTTAGCAAAGTCGGAAGGAGATTTGTCTAAGTTAACCATATATATGTTATCGATTCTATCACCATGTAGAATGACCTTATTGTCACTAAGGCGTTCTACCGTGCATGATTTTGAATCGAAGGTCACACGGTTTCCCTTGTCACATAATTGACTTATGCTCAAGAGATTGTGTTTAAGACCTTTAACAAGTAAGACATTATCTATAGAGGAGTTTTCAGATTTACCTACCGAACCAAAGCCGATAATCATTCCCTTTCTATTATCTCCAAAAACTACGTTTCCTCCTTTAGCGGGTTTGATTTGGAGAAACTTGGATGCATCCCCGGTCATGTGCTTGGAGCATCCGCTATCAAGGTACCAAAGTACACTTGATGCCTTCAAGCACACCTATGAAAACACATCAATGAGTTTTAGGTACCCAATTTACGTTGGGTCCTCGGGTGTTAGGTGTGTGATGGTAATGTGCTTGATTTTGTGATAGGTGCCTATGCCTAGTGTAACAAACGGGAGCAATATGGCCTATCCTATTACAATAATGGCAAACTACGTTGGGGTTGTACATGTGCCTAGGTTCATAAGAGTTAGAGGGTTTGACCATTTTGTTCCTATTTTGTGAAAACAATGGTTTTTGAAAATTTTGAAACTGGCCTTTTCTAGGTGCTCTAGCATTATTTCTTCTAATTTGAGAAAATTCGTTTTTATGCGCAAAATCATTTTTCTTAGGTTGTCTACCATGACCATTTTCATTCCTAGGTTTTAGTCTAGGTTGTCTAGTGTCCTTAGGTTGACTAGGTTTTCTATTATCTTGATTTTTAGGTTTCTTATGTTGAACCTTAGATGATTGTCTAGGTGGTGGCTCAACATTATCTTTAGCTTTATTTTTATCAAAACCTATTCCTTCCTTAGAAAAATGCATAGTGTCAAGAAGTAAATTTAAGTCTTTGTGAGGAGTATTAAATTTCTTGACCGTGCTCTCAAGTTTAGCGACTTGCTCTTTTAAAGTTTTACAAGACCCACATTCACT